TTGTTTTTATTTTTTATTTTAAAATATATTAAAATAATATTTTTGTTAAAATTATTTTTGATATTAATATATTAAATTAATACAAAAATACCAAATAATATTAATTTAAAATAGATAAATAAATAAATTTAAAATATTTTAAAAACACTCTTTAAACCTGAAATCAATCCTATCCTAAAACTAGAGACGGGGACTGCATATTGCACTTCTATCCAGACATCTTAAGGACCCCCTTTATTATGTCCGTAGGGTGAAAGGGAGCAATCAACCACTCTAATCATATCTCTTTATGAAAAAACACCACAGATCTTCGTGAAATCAACAGGACCACGTTGTTTTGATGCATCATGTTGATGTTAGAATGTTAGTTTTCGTGTTCATGGTAAATGGTGGAATGTTAGGTGAACATAGCAAGTTAGCTACAAACCACATTTGTTTCTTCCTCTCAACCTTATCCCCTCGAGCTGAGATGGAGAAAGGAGGGATGAGATCCTTTGCCCATGCAGAGGACAAGACAGGAGTCCTGTCTTGCATCCACTCACCATCAGAAAAACGTGATTTAGAAACGAAAATTAGCGACACAATTTTACTGTCGTCAATACAGACGGAATTAGCAACGTAATTTATTTTTTGTCAATTTTGTGACGAAAACCATTCCACCGCTGATTCTTTCACTAATATTCCATCGCTAATAGTGTTTTTCACTTAATTTCCCAAAAGAAATACTAATACTTTTTTTTTTTACAGCGGTTCAAATCCAATTGAAAATGCCAAGCACTTTCACCGGATGTCCTCTTAGTTTGGCTGCGGGTTTAATAATATTGTTGTGGTAGCTTTTGAAAAATATTTTTATATTAAAAATAAATTAAAATAATATTTTTATTTTTAATATTAATACATCAAAATTATAAAAAATTAATTTGATATTTATTTAGGTAAAAATATAATTTAAAAAATAAGTTGAATAGCATTACAAAACACATGATTAGATCATATTGGTAACTTAATCTATGATATGGGCCATGCCATATTTTCCTTGATATAAAAAAAGGATGCTTAGACGATGCAATACTACCATTTTTAAAGAAACACGAAAAATTTGAGAAAAATTTGAGATTTGAGTCATTGATTTTTCTAAGTTAAATAAACTTAGTTAACTTAACAATATGATTAAAAATAGGAATGACAATAAATAAATTAAGCTAAACAAAAAAAAATAATTAACTCAAAAAATAAATATTTGCCAATACCAAAAATTAAATGAGAATGTGACAGTCCCATAGAAAGCAAGATGAAAAAAATTTGAAATTAATTCCTAGTAAATCAAATGTCAAAGGATAAAATTAAAAAGTTAATTAAAAAAGATAAAAAAAACCCGACCTAAGTCAACCCTACTAAAATTATGATCTTGTCATGAAAAAGAGATAATCCTATAAAAATAAAATTAAATAAAACTACAAAATTCAATTATCAAATAACCTAACAGTGAAGGGTAAAACTTGAAAAATAACTCAATTTTAAAAACATTAAAAAACAAATTCAAGTTAACTTGGTTTTATATAAGCCCAAGATCTAGAATATGATACTAGGATAACCCCATGGATAGAAAAAAGTTAAAAAAATCATGAAGTCAAATTCTCAATCAATCTAATATTGAAAAATAAAATTAAAAAATATTTAAAAAAACTAAAGTCAACTTGGCCTAATTTTCAAACTTATGACCCAATTCATGATTTTGAGCCAATCCTATATAAAAAAAAATCCAAAAACAAATCACGAAGTTAAATTCTCAATATGTTAAGAGATGAAATCGAGAAAACATTCAATAAAAAAATAGAAATAAATAGTAATCAAAAGAATAATGATCAAATTTGATATAAAAACTAAATAAAATTATATGATGAGGAACTAAATGGAAAAAAAATCAATAAAAAAGAATGTAAAATAAAATAAATAGCAATAAAAAGAATAAAAATCATATTTGATAAAAACATGACATGAAATATTTTAATTTTATTGGCCAATACAAATCTCAATGAGTGGGGAAAGAAAAGTGAGAGGAGGAAAAAAATAAAAATAAAAGATCATTGGAGCCCTACTATTAACATGTTTCGGACTAATAAGAAGAGGATGGCAAGACACTTCCAACATCACCACGGAAGCCAATGTTTAGATGCTAGGTGGCAATTCACCGTCACCAAAAAACAATCTTGCCCATTTACCATAGTCTTTATATTTGTTATAGTTTCAATGTTACTCTCTTATCACTTAATTATTCTAAATCAACAAATTTTCATTTTACTTTGCAAAACCAAGCATCAATCGGTGCACTAAGAATCTACATCAATATTGCAAGATCTCTATATCAAAACAACGAAGAAAAACCACCAAGTCAAGTCCCAAATAAAGGCAATGTGTAGACATCAAATTGAGAAAGAATATGAGAGACTACATAAAAAAAAAGGACATGAGCTTTCCCTTTACCCGTGCAAATAAACCCATAATGTTGACTGAAAAAAGAAATGAATATTTCTTTAACTTTTGAATTTGATCCCTTAAGGTCTAATTAACCGAGTGATAAAATATTTTCTCCATACCTTGAAATCCTAGACTCATACATGAATTAACCTAGCGACACATATATAATATTTTCTTTGTACCTTGAAGTCCTTATACATACACATGAAAAACAAATCACTAAGACTTATTGAAAATCAAAGTAATGTTAAAGGACTAAAATAAAACAAAAATTAAGAAACCAAAGTGTAAAAAATATTAGAAAAAAAGAGAGAAGGAAATCACTTTTTAAATGAATAGTTAATCTTCTTATAGTCTACATTTTTTTTAATGCTAGCTTGAACATGTTAGGTTTGTTGCCATTAATGTGAATGAATGTGCAACAACCAAGGATACATAGGATCCAATATGATATTATAATGAGACAAGAAGTGCAAAAAACAAAAAAAATGTGTTTCTAGTGAAGCTTAGAGCAGAGATAGTGTTAAAGTTGTACAATAAGAAGTCAGTAAGAAAGTATCTTGTGTTCTTGATGAATATAATAGCAAAAACCTTTCTAATGCATGCAAGGATAGAAAAGAAGAGCTATTATATAGGCACCTCATTAAGAGGGTATGAACACTTGTTATAAAAGATGATTGCCTCTGAAAATGTAAAGACACCAAAGAGAGAATTGGTGTAAATGAAGCTGTTAAGCGTATTGAATGAGCTGGTGCAAGCATGATCATGAAAGACGCAACAACTTTAAACATAAAAATCAAGATTGAGGATTGCAAGGAGTATACTACAACTCTCTTTTTCTCTGTTATCACTAACAATTTTCTCTTCTATAAGTGCACATGGTGATAGAGAATTGTGAAGCTGTTTTGAGATATTTGAGATAAAGAAGGTGCAACTATCCCATGACAATAAACGAAGATATTTAAAAAAAAAAGGTGCAACTATCCCATGATAATAAACGAAGATATTTAAAAAAAAAAGATGTACGGGCCATGATATGAACTTAATTTCATATTATCCTAGAGTTGATGTTATAGTTAGAGATGAGTAGACATATGTATGGATAGCAAATGAAGTGACTATGATGAATATGAAGACAAATGATAAATTGACTTTCATTGATATTGCCTCTATGCTAAAGATCAATGAGCTAGAAAACATTAACCTTTGATAATAAGTGAATAACTTGTGGAGCATTAAGATATGACTATTAGGAATGAGCAAAAAGCATACACAAGTTTCGGAAATAAATTAATTTTTATCAAGGTGATGAGTTTGATAATGACATTGTAATACTCCTTATATAAAAATAAATATGGATAAACCTTTAATAGATTTTTCTTATAGTTAAAAGTAGAAAGCTAACTAAACTTTTAGAACTAAAAAAGAGGGACTCATAAAAAAGTAAAACATGTTTTCTAGAATGAAACAAAAAATAAATCTAACTCTTAAATGAATAGACTTTTAAAAAAATAACGAGTGATGGATCACATTGTAATACTCAATTAATAAATATTGCATTCGAAAATATATATTTCCTCTCGAGGGATGTTGCAAGCCTTGGTAGATCATTGATTTGGCATTGAAGCGTTGGAGCCTGTCTCATTCGTTCATTCAATTAATTCTACATCGTTCATTATATTTCACACGTGGGTTGTTACACCCTCTTAATAGGAGACAGCTTCCAGTTCCAAAATCTTCTTCAGTTTTAGTAAAATGGGACCGTAGGGGTTCAAATTCAATGCAGGAAACAAGAAGATGGGCTATGGATATGGTTAACACAATTAGAGTTATGTCACTTGGTTTCTGGTCACGAGAAGAAAGGGACTGCAAGTTAGCTTGCAGACAAGCAGATGCATGCAATGTTATACACTCAACTCGTGAACCATTCTCACTGCTCAGAAGCATTAAGATATGACTATTAGGAATGAGCAAAAAGCATACACAAGTTTCGGAAATAAATTAATTTTTATCAAGGTGATGAGTTTGATAATGACATTGTAATACTCCTTATATAAAAATAAATATGGATAAACCTTTAATAGATTTTTCTTATAGTTAAAAGTAGAAAGCTAACTAAACTTTTAGAACTAAAAAAGAGGGACTCATAAAAAAGTAAAACATGTTTTCTAGAATGAAACAAAAAATAAATCTAACTCTTAAATGAATAGACTTTTAAAAAAATAACGAGTGATTGATCACATTGTAATACTCAATTAATAAATATTGCATTCGAAAATATATATTTCCTCTCAAGGGATGTTGCAAGCCTTGGTAGATCATTGATTTGGCATTGAAGCGTTGTAGCCTGTCTCATTCGTTCATTCAATTAATTCTACATCGTTCATTATATTTCACACGTGGGTTGTTACACCCTCTTAATAGGAGACAGCTTCCAGTTCCAAAATCTTCTTCAGTTTTAGTAAAATGGGACCGTAGGGGTTCAAATTCAATGCAGGAAACAAGAAGATGGGCTATGGATATGGTTAACACAATTAGAGTTATGTCACTTGGTTTCTGGTCACGAGAAGAAAGGGACTGCAAGTTAGCTTGCAGACAAGCAGATGCATGCAATGTTATACACTCAACTCGTGAACCATTCTCACTGCTCAGAATTTCTATCTATGGCCTGAGCCTCTTAGCCCACCTGACTAAAAGAATATGGCATTTTATGTCTGTAACCTAATGCTTGGCAGTGCTTGGCCCTACCTGAAAGCGCCGCAAAGGAAGCTATTCGTAACCCAACAGCTAGCAAACACCACCATTCTTGCCAGATTCTCCATGGCTACGAGTCTATGATCCCATAACCAAGAGCAAATGTTCTTAAGTCACGATGCAATGCATTTTCGCTTAAAAAATCTTGACCTTATAACATACATAACAAAATTAATGAAGATAATTTCTCTCCTCGCACCATTTGGTTTTATATTACAATAATACAACGGCATGAACATACACCATATTTCAAAGGTGGGTGGGTCCACATATATGCAACAAGGTACATGCACCGTGTTAAACCCACGCGCCACCTCACGCACCTCCATGTTTACCTGACTAACTGGACTTTTCAAGTGAAGATCAAATCTTTGACAGATTTGAGAAGCCCCACTTCAAAACCGCACTAGCTAGAGCACATGAACTTATCACCGTCTTTTTTTACAACAGGGTTTGATATGACAACTCAGTTTATATTTGACCAAATCGATTAAAATTGGCTAAATAATTTGATCGGTCTCCCATAAACCGAGTTTTTTTCCCCGACAATCACTAGATTATTTTTTCTGTCCAATATTATATTACAAAATTATACAATACTAAAGAGGGAAAAAAAAAAAACACGTCAAGAACTTACCGGAGACAAGTACACTTGACTCTGTATCACAGTTTTGCCTATCTTGAATCCAGGAACCACTGTGAAAGCCACCCGGAGATCAGTATCAGAATTGGGATTTTCTATTTCTGAGTCTTGTGTTACAGCCTCCATGTAGACATCAGAGAATCTGCAATTCTTGCTTACTTGAAAAATACTGACATCCTCGCCGAATGAGAAAGCTAAGAGATTCAAGGCCCATACCCTTCTAGCCATCTCAACAAATGCGTTAAAGAAAGCAGAATCTGGGAATCCTCCAGAATTCACTAGCTTTCTCTGGTTTAAATTCCCAAACAGAGAGCACTCCAATTTTGCATGGACAAGTTGAAGATACTTAGCCCTTGTGAGTCTTGCAAATGATGAGTCTGGATTAAGAGTCAAGAACTGTTTTGGGTTTACAGATTTGATCTTTTTGAATTCAATGAAGTAGTAGTATTCACTCTGATGCTCTTCGTTTGGATGATTGAAACCTTCAAGCATCGTTTTGCACACAAAAGATTCGAAGACAAAGCACCTGTGGCTTGGCTTTGCAAAAACAATGTTTTCTGGTTCAATTGCTTTTGCAGCTGCTTCAATATCCCAGTGGGCTACCTCCATTTCTCGAACCATTAATTTCACAAAACTCTTCATAGATCTTAAAGTATAATGCAAGAGTTGAGAAAAATGGGTTGGGTTTAGGAGTGAAAACTGAATGTTGTCAAACATTGATAGAGGCCCACTTGCATTTAGTCTCTTCTCAATTGACTTGTTAAATGCAATAGCGTCGTCAAGCTGTTTCTTGAGTGAACAAATGTCTGAAACTTTAACCTCAACATCTGCTTCCAGTTTCTTGATTGTGATCTCATAGGTCTTCATTAAGCCCTGTTGTTCTTGAATCTCCGCCAGCATCATAGTAACCTGGGGTGAAAGGTCAAGCTCATTCTTGAAAAAACTACGCTTAAGTTCTGATAATTGTTTCAACTCATCAACAACAGCCTGATCTGCAGCTTGTATAGCATCACCACTATAAGGGTTTTGAGCCATTTGTAGCTCTGCATAAGCTGCTTTAATCGTAGTGATGCTTGCAAATAGCTTTGCCAACAAGGCCTCCAAGATTGCTCTGCGCTTGGCCTTAGCATCTTTCTGCTTGTGATTATCGGTACTGTTTTGAGGTTTGCAGGTGGTGTCTAAATCATCTTGATCAAATTTCTTGTGAGGTGTTAGCAAGCAAATGCCAATCCCATTATTTGAAGCAATTCTTGTTGCAGTCTTGAGGTTGATAACCTTTTGGATTGTTCTTGCTATCTTGCTCTTGTTGTTTGGGAGTGATCTACATTTAATTGTCTCCATAATTTTAGAAGGAAATTAAATGGAAACTGTGGATGGGGTTTTGGGCAAGAAATTCTTTGAGTGATCTTTTGTCAGAGAAAATTAAAGAAAGAAAAGGTTCTGGGGATTGCAACAAGTGACTGCGCTATCTGATAAGAAAGAAAAGTAGACACAAAATTTTGACTCACGGATTGGAGCCGGAGATAGAGGTGGGCTAAGCTAAACTACAAAAACAACAAAAAAGCTGGATTTAAAGCGCGGGAAATAAAGAAAAAGAAGATCTCTCTCTTGCTTGCTTTTCCCTTTCGGTTACTGGAACAATATATCATACACTACTGAACTCTCGTCTTTGGTGTATCGCGAAAATTGGAAGCTCACATTGTGGTTGACAATTACGCACAGTCCCAATATTCTCCTCGACCACATGAATTTTAAGGTGGTTACAAAAGTTAATTTCTTTTAAGTACATTATTTGACATGACTGCTCTGCTTCTTGAAATCATGTCATTTTTATTTTACTGAAACATCAAGGTCAAGATTATATATTGGGTTGGATAATCTAAATTTATCTAAATCAATCAAAATAATAATAATTAAATTTTTATTAAAAACTCAATTTAAATTTTAATCGAATCATAAATTAATCTAGGTTGATTATATGAATTCTGGCTTGTATTATATCACATTTCGACCTTATCGTGGCGGTGATAAACGAGCCAATTATAAGGTGATTGATTTGGCAAGCATCTAATCATGGACCCCATTAAATGCAGACCCAGAAATGGTTGATAGGCGTTTGAATATCTGAATACAGTTTAACGTCTATTATGTATGGAGCAGGATCAGTGTAATTCTTGTGGCAAACAGGAAATTATCGGGAGACAAGGCACATTTGTGAATTGTCATGCTAAAGTTTCTAAATTATTAAATGAATAATGCATATGAAATTAAAAATAAGACTTAAAAAAGTTCATAATAAATTGCCATTGGGTCGGTGGGAGACCTTGACAGGACAGTGCTGTCATCTTGCGGGGATCACACAGCGATCAAGTCATCGTTGTGTTTGGAATCCTGGGTGGACCAGACAGAACAGCGGCATCGAGTGAATCTACAGTTGAGATTTGAGCAGTGACGCAAACTTTTCTGATTACTGTGGCTCTAGCTACTTTCTGCACTTCGTAAAATCTTCATCTAGGTTTTACATTCCATTCATGGAAATAATTTGTTCTATCTTCTGGGAAAAGAAATAATCATGCAGTTTGCAACTTACGATTAAAAGTATAATTTCATGTATTCGATTTCTCATGAATTAAACTTGATCAGTCGTCTATGAATCGTCTTCTTTTCTCTCTTTTTCTTTACTACATAGCATGATGGAGTTTACCTTGCATGTATACAATTATGATGGAAAAAAAAATACTCTACATGAAAGTCCTTTCACTGGGAACCACAAGAGAAACCTTGCAGCTCGCAGCGCTTTTAAATTCAAAGACACCAAACTTCTGTTTTCGTGCTTTATTTAAGTAGGCCAAAAAGCAAAAATCAGCAACCAAGAAGGCTCCAATGGACCTTGTTATATTCTTTATATATATATATATGATTGAACGGCTACTGAAAAAATGAAGGGAAACACAGCCTAGCTCCATAAGAATATAATTCATACATGCCCTACCTTATGTAGAAAATATTAAATTGTCGGACAGAATTTGTATCATCTAACACTTCGGTCAAGGAAAGAGACAGTAAGTGCAGCTTGGATTAATAAAAAAAGAACAACAAGAAGAAGAAGCTTCCATCCATGCGGCTGAGAATATGATATATGAACAGGAGCTGGCATTTTGTAATTTTACAAGCATTGAGATTAATTCTGTCCCTTCTAGCTAGTTGCTGAATGCTGACCGGGAGTATTTAATTTTTTTTTCTTCAAGGTAAAATTGAATGGAACTTTGAATTAAATGATTTAATGATTAATTAATTTTTAGTTCTGAGAAAGATGGTAAAACATGAATCGAATCTTGTAGCCTTGATATGATTTTATGTTTAGGAAGTACAAACAGAAGAAAATGGCGCTAAAAAAGAAATGGCCGAGAGACGGTGGTGACTAAAATACAGTCTTAAAATGTGGGAAAAAGGCAACTAGTATCAAGAATAAAATGGGAAAAAACAAAATAAAATTAGAACAGCTAACGTAGGCCGGTCTTGGTTACTAAATAAATTTTAACACATCAGAAAATAAATAATAATATCATATTAGTGTTTTTTATTTTTTTTAAATGAGCATAAAAAAATAACAAATAAAATATTATTAGCTAGTTACTCTCTAAATACATTATTATCTTCTTCTTTTTTTCCTATATTCTTTGTATTTTGTAAAGGAAGAGGGTACAACATTTTTCTCTAACACAGAAATCCTTGGTGCCCCATAAAAAAAAAAAACAATTGTATAGTACACTTGAACATTTTTAATTTGTGAATGTTTCCAAAAACAAAAATATATAGGAGTAAATACACAACAAAAGCAAGGACAAATTAAGTAACATAATTGCAACTTCGGGGTTCAACAGAACCTGGGAAGGAATTGCTCTTGTAGATAATTGTAAAATAATTTCTTCTCTCTAACACCAGAAGGGGAGCCAAAAAATGAGCCTTTTGGGTTAAGAAACAATTGCAATCAATGATGTTCTGTTGGTTACACACACCTATATTTATTACTCATCATTGTTTACGAAACATATCGGAATTGTTGTCTGTGCATCATTAACAAGTTTCATGCACCGTAACAAATGCTTGAGTCTAACTTGTACATGCAAATTGATTAACAAAAATTCATTTGAAGTTGAGAAGTACCGACATTCACTTATCATATATATATATATATATATATATATTAAGTTCTTGAAAATACAGTATCAGTTATAATTTAAAGTATTTTTTATTTAAAAATACATCTAAATATTATTTTTTATTTTTTAAAAATTATTTTTAATATTAACATATTAAATGATCTGAATATATATATATTAAAAAATTATGCTTCTAGACACCATCTTTACATACCGAGCTTGGTTAAAAAAAAAAAAAAAACCTAAGTAGACGGCCTCCCACAATGTTCACTGGACATCTGAGCAATTTAGCCGGATTGAGGTCGTCGAGCAGCAGACTTCCGAATGGAGGTATGTTTCCTGTTCAGTGGCTGTGGATTAGTGGTTTTGGTAGCTTTGTGGCGTTATTGGCAGACAAGACAAAAGCAAAAGTTTATTATAATCGATTTTGGCAGACAAGACAAAAGCAAAAGTTTATAATCGATGCTAATTCAAGGAAGGGCCAATTCAAGCCTAACACAGAAGCCTATGGAGATGTATTTAAGGATCAAGTTGCTCCTTATCACACAAAAAAAAGAGGGTTGGATCTAGTTGCTAAGAATAGAAAAAGAAATAAATGTTGCCGGGTTTTCTTGGGATGTAACGTGGCTTCTTGCATTATATATGATCGTCTGTTTAAATAAATAAATAAAAACTATTTTTGCATTTTGGAGACTGTAATGTAAACAACTATTCTAATTCAAACATCGGATAGAGAACTTGGAGGGTTCTACGAGCTCATAGAGTTGCTAGTTTGAATAAATAATAATGGCCAATTATCAGAAACAACGCTAAATCCAAAAAGTAAAAAACATATACGGAAGTTTGTCAGTTTCATTCCTCACTTCTCCTCCATTAACACTGTCACTGTTGCCCTACATGTACTGGACACGATTTAAAAAACAAATAAAATAAATGATACCTTCGTTAAGATCAATAACTATACACAGAGAATAAAAAATAAAAAACAAAAAACTATCAAAGATAACCAAACAAAACAATTTTCTATTAAAAAGAATCCATACCAAAAACCAAACTTTGAAATTAAAATAAACTAAAATTAATTATGAGCAATCTTTCATGCCGTTGATAAAAGAGAGTTTAAAGTATTTTTAATTTAGAAATATATTAAAATAATATTTTTTATTTTTAAAAAAATATTTTTAACATCAATATATTAAAATAATCTAAAAATATAAAAAAATATTAATTTGAAATAAATAAATAAAAATTTTTGAATTTTTTTTAAAATACTTTTAAAACACAAAAATAAATATAATCTAAATACCTTTTCCAACAACCACTAGAATTGCATCTTGCAAGGAAAATGAGCAATCTTCCATTCCATTGATTGAACTATAAATACTAACCCAAATTGCTTGCCGAAAAAAATCTATAAAACTTTGGAATCACATCATTGTTATCGGGCTAGTATTTCATATTTATGAAAGACCTTCAAGTTATTGAACTTTCATTGATATATCTTTATAATTGTTTGAACAACATAACCTTCTTTTTATATATATATATATATATACATAATAGAATCTACTCTTAAATCTACTCTCAAACCTTCTCTAGCTTTCAATCTAGATAGAAAATCCCAACCCACTTTACATATTTTTTTAAGTATCCATATCTCCACTCCATATGAATTGTCTTTGTAAAGAGATAATTTCTTTGCAACATTAGATGATATTTTAAATAAGAACATAGAATAGAGAGGAAGGTTACATAACATTAATTTTAATAAAAAAAGTCTTTCACTTGTAGATAACATCCTCCCTTTCCAAGTTTTAAGATGAGACTTGATCTTATCTTTAACTGGTTTTCGAGTATAGCAAAGTCTTGGGTTTTCTCTTAATGTATTTAATCATTAAACCATTATATTTGCATCTCAAAGCACCAATCACACCTTTAATGAATTCTAAATTAATATTCACACAAATTAATGTATTTTTATAGAAATTTACTTTCAATCCTGAGCATAACTGAAACAAATTAAGAATGGTTTTAACATTCTTAACAACCTGCATATCATTGAGATAAAAAATCAATGTATCATTAGCATATTGTAACAGAGTTGTTGTTTGAGCCAACGATTGTATTCTTGAATTTAAATTATTCTTCATTGCTCGACCAAAAAGAATCGTTAATCTTTCTACTGCAATATTTAATACAAATGGTGACATAGGATTTCCTTGCATATGAAACTCATTAGATGGTGAATCATTAATTAACACTAAAAGTTTAGCTATATATATGCATTCTTGAGTCTAAGAAATCCATTTACAATCAAATCCCATAAAAGCCATGACTTCCAAAATGAAATCTCAAGTAACAGAATTAAAGACCTTTTGAAAATCCACTTTAAAAAGAAAGCCTTGAACACATTGTCCTCATATACTATTCACAATTTCATTTGCTAGAAGAAAAGAATCAAGAATCTGTCTTCCTAAGATAAAAGT